AGCTGGTGTTTCACATTGTTCTCCAATCCTGCCGCCACTTCTGCTTGATAGTGATGGCTGAATGACGACTGCTCATGATTCCACTTGTTTCATATTCAGTGTTTCAAATGTTCACACACTTGCAATTTTTGCGATCCGTCGCAGGTTTCGCGCAAATCGCGCAAATCGCGTGAATCGCGCAAATCGCGTGAATCGCGAAAATCAGCGAAACCTGCGACGGATCGCGGACTCTGACATCAGCCTAACTTTTCTTTGCCAACGTTAATATTAGGGAAATCTGCCTCCAATTAATTTGCTAAAAATTATTACTAGTAAATACCCATCGCTGCGAGTTGTTATGTTGCCAATAACTTCCAGTTATTTTGTAGCTTTCCAGATTTCTTTTTCGACACATATGGAAGTTCCAGCTGCTCAACGATCTCAGCTTGTGGGGACACCGGATGGAGCACAACTGGTAATTACACAATAATTGCGGAACTGTACACAACCGATTTAGTAGACAGTTGCTGCATGGAGAGTACGGCCTGTAATTAGGCATTTCAGGCTACTGGGTATACTTTCTATTAATGAACTCTCTGTTATTATGGGCGCTCGCAAGCTCAAGCTTGCTACGGACGCTTACGTTACGAACATATTGCATCTGCGGCATCCTTCTTTCATGTTATTGATGAATCAGATGCAAACTGAAAACTGTCTGCCGAAAAGAAATGAAGAGAGCTTCTAGCCAGCTCTATCCTCCACTGTTTCCATTCAAAGCAATATGTGTTTTTACATTCCGACCTTACACGCCATTTTACGGTTGAGGCAGTTCTGCAGAATGGGCATGACTTTTTCTAACTTGTGTCGTTCTACTACTAATTCAGTATGATTGCAGCTGGTCATCTCTCGTTTTACAAAAGCGTTACTACATTTTCCTTCTCACTCGGAGGAATCGTCGCAAACTTTATTTTTCTATTTTACGGGGCAACCAGAATCTATTCTAAGAGCTCGTCGATACGTGCAAGTGAAGTATTTATCTGCTAGATTTCTGCGAATTACAGTAAGCGGATGGTAATACTGCGTCCTTTTCAGGGTCTTCTTCCTATGCAGTTGTGCTTCCACGCCGGCAATGAAGATCTTCGAGCTCAGATCAAAGAAGATGTTAGATTTAGTATCTATAATAGGGAATCTAGCATACGGGAGCACATTGCGTACCGAGGCCATCATGGTTTTCCCGGTCACACTGTGCAGAGCGTGGCCACAGGGAACCGTCTTTTCGGCAGATGCAAGTTATCTTTAGTTCAGGGTCAGGACGCTAGAATGTTCTGAGTAGGGCATCAACCACAAACTAGGGGATGGTTTCAAACTCCCATCCATCTAGTTGGTGTTTGATCACGCCTACCTCAGAAGCATTTAGCAGCGCCTTAGACTGAATAAAGAAACCAGACTAGGGATGCAGAGTTTTGGGAACCCATTTCCGAGTTGGGGCTTGCTGCATCTGGTCCCTGGGTATGAAGAACAGCACATAAGCCAGGAATCGTGTCGAATGAGTATTTGGTTACTTTTCAGAACAGGGTCTCTGGCAGAAGTGTTCTTTTCCATACGTGAAAATAGTTTCTAGCAGTCCCCGGCCGAAATTATATGTTGGAAAAGCAGCAATTTGTACATTGAGTCTCGTGCTGCATTGTGAGCCACTCATGGCCACAAGGTGGTGGCCTTGCGTGTTGCACAAGGGATATGCTACCGCAGCCCGCTTTGTTAACTATACTTTACTGTGAACATTCTCGTAGAAAAGTTATAAAAGATCGTTTCAGACTCGCATGATACAAGTTTTATGACGAAATGTTACGCGTTTCTGTTCGGGTAATACCTTCCGATCTTGAATCCCTATCAGCCCTTCCTGGAGACCAGATGAGAGTGGGTTCTAAACCTTATTCACTCAAATTGAACATTACTCTACTCATGAGTTTGTCTTTCAGCATTTTATTTCACTAAGAACTAGTGAATACAATGTGGGTGCGCTTTATGCTGTGATGCGTCGAATACTCAAACGCGGAGACAAAATACCCATGGTCACGCCTACAGACTACGCCGAAATGCTACCACTTGTTCCTGATCTCATTAAACATGCATGTGAAGTGAACGTAAAGGTGAGAAAGGTCGTGATCAGAACGAGTGTGAATGTCCATGTGAAAAAGGTGAGACTGAGGGCATCTGGTGCGGTAGATTACAGTAACCTCAGTTTTCGCAGAGAGGATACGGGCGGGTGCGAGAGCGAAAGCGAAATTGTTCAGCCACCCCGGAGCCTCCTTTCTCTGCAAAAAGTAGGGTTACTGTAGGGATCACTTGCTACTGCACCGAACGCCCCCTTCCCAGGTGGACCCCAAGTTAAACGTTTACTATCCATATTTTTGAGATCATACCTTTTATGAATATCGTTAAGTGTCGATTGGAACCACGTATTTTGGATCTTCCGTCGTTATCGCACGTGGTCCCTCCTACTCCCACCTCACTATCTTCTAATCTGCTGTCGGCAAACTTTATCGACCAGTCGGGTGTTTCTCAGAATGTGATTGAACCGTCCGAAGGAGCTATTCTTCCTCGAAGAAAACCTTCTCCTAGTATGTCCATCGCAGCTTTCCCAACTTGACTTTTCATGCTTACTTAGTTGAATTTTATTTATTTGTTTATTTGCTGTTTAGTAACCTACAACCGGCACAACTGCTTGGATACGTCACTGGATGCAAATTCTTCAGCGCAATCAAATAAGACCGATAATGGGTCATCTTCACGTTAGTTTGTTGTTCATCTTTTCGTGGTTTGTTGTTTCTCTACTGCAGTGTTGTGCGTTTTCTTATTTTTGTTTTAAGGTGTTGCCGGTGCCAACCGAAGCAGGAATACTTCACCTCAAAATATTTACCCTAGCAAATTCAGTTTACGATACAACGACAAGGAAAATAATGCTAGAGGTAAAATTTCACTTAACTTTGCTGAATCAAGGAAAAAAAGAAGAAAGAAGGTGTCGGTGTTTTGTTGGAGCTAAGTGCGCGTAGCCCAGTTTCTCTTGTTTCTCTTGTTCTCGTGGCGCAGTTGAGCGTATATCCGCCAAAACTATTGCTTGAATGATGGCCATTATCCCAGACATACACAATCGCTCTTTCTTCTTGTAACTATCAAGGAATCCTCTGGCAATAATGAGCTGATTAGTTTCTCGATAGTCCAGAAATTTCTAGCATAAACGATATCACTTTTTCCCAACGAAAAAAGAATTTGATTCAGGGGCGTTCAGTAACTTCGGACGTATGAAGAATTACAATGTCGAGCATCGGGTAAGTGGTTTCTCACAGGAGGAGCACTTTCGAACCCCTTTCGATAGTAAAAAAAATGTTCTTCAGAACAACTCATTCCGATCGTTCCGCTTTGGTGCGGCCAACACTTCACATTCAAAGCATCATCTTGCACTGCGTAACAGAGAAGCAGATGTTGACGTATGTATTGGAACCTTGAGCACTTTTTTGCTTGGCTCCATTTCTTCTTAGCTCTCCATTTTTGCTATCTGAAGTACATTTGAAAGACAAGCCCTCATTGTGTGCTAAATTATGTCTGGTTTGTGACATGCTTTATTACAGAAAGCTGTTGAAAGTCGGCTCCACCGCAACAACTCAAGCCCGCAAATAGGTGATTTCTTTTGCCTGGTTTATTAGATTTGTTAAGCGCTTCATATTTGTACAGAAAGCTGTTCTCGTGCCGGAGGTGATGAGATTTACCAACGTCGGCGCAATAATCATCTCCAGAATGGCTCTGAGCGTGTACATCATGGGTATCTGTTTTTATTTCAGTGATTGTTATAACCTTCGAAAGGCATTCTCCAAGTAGTGTATTATTTAGCATTTATGAACGTCGTACCGGTGCAGAATGGCGAAGTAGTCAGTCGAAGCCTACAGAATCACCAGTCATTTTTACACATACGGCGAAAACTGTGCTGGTAACAAGATATTTGCTGGACTTTTAGTTGATTTATCGGCAATTTTTACCCCTTTGTTTCCAGATTTTTTTTTGAAGTATGCCTAAAAATATCAAGATAGAGTACATTGCCGCTGATTCTTACTCTCGTAAAGCTATTCTAAATTGTCCATTTTCATCTCGTTCCGTGATCGAGGAATTTTCCGGAAGCACTTACCATTGGTTTGCACACATGTCTTACAGAACCAGCGTCCACGAAATGAGAAAATTGAACTCCAACGACGTGACAAGGAAAACCAGACTGCAGAAGATCAGGAAACAAATGTTCGTCGCCAGTCGAATAAACGGTAATAATATCAATCTTTGAAAAAGTCAAGCCAGAATTATGCAGTGATAGTTGTGCTGCGTTTGTGTCGCTCTATTCTTTAGAATCCATGTAGGTTAGTGGAAAGCTGTCGCGAGGTGGCGCGTGGTTACTCTGACAGTTTTCTGCGATTTATCAAAAATCACGAATTGCTGCCGTCCACCGTTCAGTCGAGAACTGCTTTATAGTGCGATTTAAGAAAAAAGCTTCTCATAGGATGGACGTCATGGACCTCATCAAGCTCGCGTCGGCCGAAGACAACGACCGACGATTGTCATCAGTTGAAGAGAACAACAGTGTACTCGATTCTGGTGATGCTACTGGTTCTAACTCAGTCATTGATTGCAACAATTCAGATACAGCTGACGTTTTTCAAGAGTGAGTTTATTTTGCATGCGAAACTATGTAATGAATGCTTTCATTTGCCATGCTCCCAGTTGGCTGTTGTTATTTCAGAGCAGCAGGTGTAACGCCGAGCATTTCTTCGGAATCCAGTGCCTTATTAAGTTGTAGTTCCAGTAAGCTTCATATACAGCGATATCATGGTTTGTTGCTGTTGTCCTTAATTTCCTTTTCCATACAGCCCCCAGAGGCATTTATCCTTACATCATACCTTCGCCTCATTCTACTCTATTATATACAAAGTCAGCATAAGTGAACTATTGAAGGATGTGGCTATGATGGCTGAAGGGCGGTCCAGTTTTCGATGACTCACTAAACGTTGGCGGAAGGGCATCTGGAGCCGGTTCATACTATCCCTTCCAGCGCGCTGAAGAGTTGTAATTCCAGTAAGCCACCGCTGTTGTTAAGTGTTGTCGTTGAAGCCACATCGTCCTCCAGCCATCGTAATCACTGCCTTCAAACACAGTCCGGCTGTGGTACCCTTCAAATCTTTACTAGGATTCGGGCGAAAGCATTCGCGTTGGTGCGGAGCGCTGGTTTCTTAGCTAATGACCCTAGTTTTACCCTACTTTTTGAGTCAAATCATACGAAATTATAAAACTTCGATTCTACCCTGTTTCTTAGATTTTCTTGAACTCAAAGCTGGATTTTACGGTCAGAAGGTAGCCCGTTAGAATCAAGGTAGAAGTGGTCAGTGGTGCTGGATGAAGAAAAACCACGAGAAACGGCCAAGAACTCAAGAATGGGGCCCTTCCTAT